TACAACAAAAATACTCTAAATCGCATCATAGTCTACCTCAAGGAGGTAGAATTTATGCTGTAGAATACCAAGAACTATATAATGCTTACACCAAAAAGTAAGTCACCTTTATTTTTCATGATTATCCACTACTGATGCAACGTAAGGTGAAAACAAGAAAAAGTGGATATGCATATCATCATAGATGGAAAGCAGAATACTTTTAGGTTTTAACATGCTTGAACTACAACAGAGCTCTGAGCAACATCAACCAATCTCACTTTCACCGAAAGCTTAAATTTGACAACAAAAAACTTTTAGAAAAATTAAATCCTGCACATTGTAGGAGCACACAAGGTACCAGGCCAAAGGGACATGGTGTGATGAAAAACCAGCTGCAGGAAACACCCCTCACTATTTAAAGGGCAATGTCAAGCTCCAAGAAGCAACATTATGCACAAGAAATTTAAGCAAATATTCAATTCAGACATTGGAATTCAGCTAGTATTGAAGCTGAAATGAAACACAAACCAGCTAGAAAAAAAAATATCAATAAAACATGAAGAGTATGCAAAAGGAAAGATTTTAATGTTTTCCAAATTCAAAATGCATCCACTTCATTATAAACATTTTCAGCACAAACATCCCCGAACAAAGCAGATAAAAAACCAGTAGATCAATACTCAACAGAAACCCACATGATATAAACCACAGAAAACAGAAGCGTATTGCGATAATACCTAAGCATATAAATATTTAGCAAGTCATAATAGTATATGGGCATCACAAGAAATCCATAACTAATACGAAATAGATCTCGAAATGGAAGCCCTAAATTTGAAGCTAAAATGCCCTAAAACACACAAGGAGATCACTAGGGTTCGGTCTTGGCATCCTCACTGGGGGCAGCAGCGGTGGGGTCCTCAACAGAGCTCGCGTTCCCGGACTCCGACGCACCGTTTTGAGCAGCGGAAGCAGAGGCTGTCCTGGACTTGACGGTATCGAGCATACGCTTGCTGATCTCCTTGGAGTAGACCTGCAGGATCTGAATCCCATCCTCCTCGGCCGCGGCGGACCCACCGGCGGGGGCGAAGGCTTCATCCTCGATGAGGCGGGCGGCCGCGGAGGCCTCTTCAGCGGACAAGGTGCCGTAGCGCTTGGAGAGAGGGGACGGCGTGGAGAGAGTCTCGATGAGGCGGTTCACCACGGCGTCGCGGGTGCGCTGGGTCGGCGGCCATATGCTGAAGGAGGTGGCGTGGCTGGGCTTCTGTGGCTTATGAGCTGGTGTGTCTTCTGGCTGTTGGTTTTGGGGTTCGGCATCCATGGCTGAGCTCTGGTTTGGTGCGACTATGCTCTCTAAGTCCGACACTTTTGTTGATGAGGACTGTGGGGGAGGTGGAAAGAAGCACTTCCTACTTTAAAAAAGAGAAATTATATAAATTTGATGGTGGAATTCAAATGTGAGAGAAGAATCCATGGTGAGAGTGGGCTATTTATAGGTAAAAATTAAAGTTAAAAGGATGGGTTACCTTAGAAGTGAGTGCTGATACTGAAATGAAATGTTTGACGGTTCACCATTTTCGTCTTTATTTATTTTACTTAATTATTTTCCCTCCTTTAGGCCTCTGTAATTAATTAGAAGGGTTGCTGGTTGGTTAGGTTAGGCTCTTGCTTTTACATTCGGCCCAATCAATTCAAATTGGGCCACTTTATTTCCACATTTATAGCTTCTTTTTTATTTTTGGGCCAAAGCTTGTATTGATAGCTTCAGACCCTTAAATATGATTGTTATCACTATAGAATTAAACCTTCTTTGATTGAGGCATTTTAAACCTTAAACAATTCTAAATAAATTATTAGGCCAGTTGCAAGCCTGTGTTAGACCAGTTGATCAAGACAATGTATCTGCCTACTCCTTTGCACCGGAATTCGATTCACCACATCATACATTAGAGTAAATTAGAATATCGCTTTATAAAATATAACCAAAACAAGGGGGCTAAACTGTACCAGAAAGGTTCTCCTATTGTTTGAATCTTCAAATAAAAGAACTTTGGCATATCTATCTATTTGTCACGGATCCAATCAAGTATGCTAGAACTTGAAATTGACTGAAAAAGTTAACAAAATACCAAAATCATGTAACCATCAAAATAAGGTGCTCAAATTATTTTTACCATTAGATAATTTCGTGAGATATTTCTTTTTCTAGATTGTCCGGCAACATAAGATGCTTATAATCTTTATTTGTGAATCAACATTGATCAAGTTAATTGATGTTTGTGTTGAAAATACTAGTAATATTCATCATTTAAAAAAGCTAATTGTAGCATTATTTCTTTGGAGGTTTAATTTTACTTTAATTAATATGGGGTGTTATTATTTACGGTTTATAGTTATGTTTTTGGTGGTTTAATGTGTTTGTTATGTTAGGTTGTTATAACGTTAAGGAAAACGCTAGGCTTATCATATTTATATACCACATTATGTACCATCTCTCCACCTCTATTAGAGATGTGTTACACGATGTGGTATATAAATGTGATAATTCTAGTATTATCCTAAGGTTAAATTACATTGATGGTAGTGGTAAGTGCGCGGTTTGAGGTTAAGCCAACCAAATCATACCACACATAGTATCAAAGCACTTGTGTCTTGTTTTTCTACATAGGTTTCTCTATGATTCAATATGAAATGGTCTAGATGTGAACTTGCACCCCCTTATTTTAACATGTCTACGGAAGTAAATAGGACTTAATGTTTCTTAATCTCTAGGACTTAAAATTTACTTTTTGGCATTAGACTTTTATTTTTTTAAGGTAAATAGTGGTCGTGGACTCACAAATCACAATCGCTGCCACTAAAAAAAGATGGCATTAGTTACTTTATTTTGCGTGACTATTGGCCCCTATTAGTCAATAGTCACCTGCAGTTATGATTTGAGTGTTTATTACATATCCCTCCGTGTTATAAAATAAACAGAATATGAAAGTAATACTGAATATTGAGGTGGGATTGTATTTGCTCTTGTGGTATTACACTTATAGAATTTTCTCTCTCGGATAAAACTTTCTAACTCTCAAATTTCTCTCACTTTTCTCTTCGGATTGGTGTATCTTCTTCTACAGCTGAGGATCCCTTTTATAGGGAAAGTTACAAGAGCAAAGCAGTTAATGCATTGCGGTAGAATTGGAGGTGAAAACATTTCACCTACCAAAAACACCATTTCACTTACATCGATCTACTATTGCATGCACAAAAAGTCTTCCTTGCTACATCCGCACACACGTTTCACAACACTACTCCTTGGATGTCCTAATAAGGGTTGGCCTAGCAAGCAAGTGGCTGGTCTGTTGTGATTGTGGTTCGATTGGCCTGTAGTGGCTGTTGGGAGGTGTTTGACAATGATGGCTTATGCACTGTTTTTTTTTGCCAGTGAATCCATATTCTTTGAAAATAAAAGGTTGAAAATGATTTCAAAAAACGTTTTCTGTGTTTACTTAAACTCGCCACCAAATGCAAATCTTAGTGTTTTCTAAGAATGAAAACGGCCCTAAACTTTTACAGACAAAGTGCTAATGATATCACGTAAATCATATTGGAGGCATGAAATGCATGAAATAAATTATTTTGGTCTTATTGTTTCAAGTTGATGGGTCCTAGACCACATATATAGGGCTACTAGGTATTATTGATTGGCCCCACTCTATGTCCTTACGTACGTTGCTATATGATGGAAGCTAAGCTAGCATGAGCGGGCGTGGTTTGCACATAGCCTCCAAGGGCTTGGCCCTTGGCATGGTAAGCCCCAAACCTTCACTCATATCCACATTCTCTTCACTAATCCTCTCCCACTCAAATGACTGAACCAAACTTCCCAGTGCCAATCGAACCAACCTGCTTGCTAGGCCAGCCCCTGGACATCCACGCCTTCCAGCTCCAAACGCAATTAGCTTGTACCCTTCAGAGCCCTCCCCACTCCATCCCTCAAACCTCTCTGGCTTAAATTTTGTAGGGTCCTCCCACAGCTCAGGGTCCCTATGGATGGCCCACGCATTAATGAATAACATAGTATGACGTGGCACATCAAATCCCCCTACCACACAATCCTCAGAGGCTTCATGAGGCACCAGAAGTGGAGTGGGTGGGTACAAGCGAAGTGTTTCATTGATCACATTTTTTAAGTAAGTGAACTTCGGCAAGTCTTGCTCTTCCAACGGACGCTCTTGTCCAACCTTGGTGTCTATTTCGGCTCTTACTTTCTCCATTGCCTCCGGATGGTTTAGCAGCAGCGCCATTGCCCATTCTAGGGTTGCTGATGAAGTGTCAGTTCCGGCTACCAGCATCACCTGCAATTAACTTAGTTGACATTTTGTAATACAGACAAAAACAAGAAGACATTTTGTAAGTTGCTTTGACTTGCCCTGCCCCCCAGGGGAATACACTTGCACATAGAATAACCTCATTTTAGGTTGCGTTGACATTTTGTAAGTTGCGTCAGCCACCATTTGATTAGATGTTATGTCTCTTTCTCCCTTGCCACTATTCAGTTTTTATATGCAGAAACTACCAATTTATCTCATCCAATTATTTAGTACAAGCATCCAACAACATTGAATCTATGACATTAATACTAGGACTCCAAATCATACAAATAAAGCTACCATTTCTTCTCACTAAATTATACTTTATGTTATAATATTAATAAAAAAAATACACGTGGTATAATATGATTGAATTACTTCAAAATTTCGAGAAAAAACAAAACAACTAAAACTATAATAAATGAATTGCATGATTTAAATATGAATTACGTACCATAATAATTCCCTTGGTTATTTGATCAGTGTAGAATTGGGGTTCCCTTTCTTGGAGCGCCAACAGGTTATCAATCATCAACTTCTTGACCTCTTTCCTATTCGATCCACAAGTCGCTGACAAAATTTCACGGCGCTCATCAACCAAGCCCTGCAAAAAGTTGTCCATTTTTGCCATCAAGCTCACCATCTTCTTCTCAATTCCCGTCATATCCATCCATTGTAAGAACGGGAAAAAGTCTCCGAAATTTGTTGCCCCGGATATGTCCACTCCGTCCCTAATAACCTTTTGTATATTCTTAGCCTCTTCAGCATCCAAAACATTTTCACCGTAGTACCTCTTCCCCACAGCCATCATCGTCATCACATTAAACGAAAGCTCCGTAAACTTTGACTTGAGCTCGACCTTTGTCATGCTCTTAGCACAACTCTTCATTGTCTGATTTAGTAACAAGCGGACTTCTCCTTGCCTGATACTCGAAAACTGCGCAAGGCGAGCAGAGGAGAAGACCTCAAGAGTCATAACGCGGCGGAGGTTGCGCCAGAGGTCTCCATAGGGAGCCAAAGTGACTGTTGTATAGTCGTAGGCAAAGCGTGGCCGGCTGGCGAAGATGATGTCGTGCTTTGTGAAAAGCTCTTCCGCTACCGAAGGCGAAGAAACCAAGAGGACTCTGCGTGAACCCCAGCGGAGTCGGAGAACTTTGCCGAATTTTTCAGCAAGAGCTTGGAGGGTTCGGTGGATTGGTTGTTTTACAAGATGGAGATGGCCGATCATGGGAAGAGATGGTGGGCTTGGGGGCAAGTTCTTCTTGTGTTTTTGTCTAAGTTTAGTTGTGGATAGCTTGAGAAGCAAGGTGAAGATGATGAGAGCTAAACCGTACCAAAAGGGTTCTTCCATTCGTTTGACTCTCTTTTTGTCAATATGAGATGATGTAGCTATGAACCTGCACACCACATATTTATATATAAGAACGTGGCAATTGGAAAAATATGGAAAAGGACAAAAGCATTCAACAATAGGACGAGCTAGGTACTCAAATAGAATAAAACAATTTATATATTATGTCAACTCGCACTAAATTATACCGCTTCTTCGTTTTTTGGGGAAACGAGCCCAATCTTTTGAGTTACCATACATTTGCCTAATGGAAACTATTTGTATCGTACTGGGCCCGTATTAGGGTCCCTATGGATGGCCCACGCATTAATGAATAACATTGTATGACGTGGCACATCAAATCCCCCTACAACACAATCCTCAGGGGCTTCATGAGGGAATAGAAGTGGACTTGGTGGGTACAAGCGAAGTGTCTCATTGATCACATTCTGTAACTAAGTGAGCTTTGGCAAGTCTTGCTGTTCCAACAGACGCTCTTGTCCAATCTTGGCTTCTATCTCAGCTCTTACTTTCTCCATTGTCTCTGGATGGTTTAGCAACAGCGCCATTGCCCAATCTAGTGTTGTTGATGAAGTGTCAGTCCCAGCTACCAGCATCACCTACAATTAACTTGGTAATTAGTTGACATTTTGATTTGTAAGTTGCTTAATCCTGCAGCTACCATTTGATAATGAATTATATATGTCTCTTTCTCTCTTCCTACTATTTTAACTTCTATGTGTGCAGAAACTTTGCATACGAATAAGTAAGAGTGTTGGGCGTCCACCAACTCACTACAAAAAAAAAGTGGCAACAGTTACCATTTTGTCACTAATTTTGGTGACTGTTGTGGGGGTTACTAAAGGCAACAGTTACCATTTTTGACTTTTGTGGTGACTAAAAAAGCTTTTAGTCACTTTTTTTACTTTTTTCAGTGATTAAAGCCTTTAATAACCCCCACAACAGTCACCAAAATTTGTGACAAAATGATGTGATTGTTGCCACTTTTTTTTTGTAGTGACTCCAAATCATATCTATAAAGTTGAAACTGATTTTCCTCGTTCTCTTGCTGTATATAGTTGTGTTTATTGTTTGTATCTTTCTATTATTTACAAGAGCCCTTTGTGGGGCTATGTTATCTTGTATTCTCCTTTCATTAAAGAAATTGCTGCTGCTATAATAAATAAATATATATATATATATATATAAACTGGCCGTTTCTTTTGACTAATTAATGTGAAAAACACATATCAACCTCATAATTTCTCAAAATTACGTACCTGAATAACTTTTGTATGCTGCTAGAAGGTAGCGATATTAGTTCAAGTGTCATAATATGGGTGTATGACATTTTATACTTTAGGATACAATATTAATAAATATACACGTGTTATAATATGAATGAATCGGTTGAAACTTGAAGAAAGACCAAAGAAAAGCTTCGTCTTATAATAAGCTTAATGATAATGCCTCAATAACTAAAACCAAATTAGTTTAACTAATTAAAGAAGTGCAAGTTCTGATAAATAAATACATTTAAAAAGTGCAAGATTTAAAAATTTGGATTACTTACCAGAATGATTCCCTTGATTATTTCTTCAGTGTAGAATTGGGGCTCTGTTTCTTGCAACGCCAATAAGTTATCAATCATCAACTTCTTGACCTCTTTTCCATTTGATCCACACTTCGTGGACAAAATTTCACGACAACCAAGCCCTGCAAAAAGCTGTCCACCTTTGCCATCAAACTCACCATCTTCTTCTCAATCCCCGTTATATCAATCTACTGTAAGAATGGGAACAAGTCACCCAAATTTGCTGTCCATTCCGTCCCTAATAACCTTCTGTATATTCTTAGCCTCTTCAACATCCAAAACATTTTCACCGTAGAACCTCTTTCCCACAACCATCATCGTCATCACGTTAAATGAAAGCTCCGTAAATTTTGACTTGAGCTAGATCTTTGTCTTTCTCTCAGTACAACTTTTCTTCATTATCTCATTCAGTAGCAAACGAACTTCTCCTTGTCTGATACTCGAAAACTGGGCAAGGCGAGAAGCGGGAGAAGAGCTCAAGGGTCATTATGCGGCGGAGGTTGCGCCAGAGGTCTCCATAGGGAGCTAAACTGACAGTTGTGAAGTCGTAGGCTAAGTGTTTTCCGATAAGCAAGCGTGGGCGGTTGGCGAAGATGATGTCGTGCTTTGTGAAAAGCTCTTCTGCTAGCGAAGGTGAAGAAACCAAGAGGACTCTGCGTGAACCCCAGCGGAGTAGCAGAAGTTTACCAAATTTTCCTGAAAGAGCTTGGAGAGTTCTGTGGATTGGTTGTTTTAGAAGATGGAGATGGCCAATGATGGGAAGAGATGGTGGGCTCGGTGGAAAGTTGTTGTGTTTTTGGGTAATTTTAGCTATGGAGAGCTTGAGAAGCAAGGTGAAGATGATAAGAGTTAAACTATACCAGAAGGGTTCTTCCATTATTTTGGCTCTTTTTTGGTCAATGTGAAATGGTGTAGCTATGAACTTGCATATTCTATTAATTACAGGACATACGTAAATATGGTGCAACTTGGAATTGCTTAGGATGAAGACAAAAGATTCCAGCTGCGCGACCAAATTAAAAAAAGGACCAATAATAATAAACATAAACCAATAAGCTATATTTGATCAAACGAATGGCAGAACGCTTCTGGTATTATTTCAACATAGGGAAGACTTGGTGTGGTTTTTTATGTTGTTTATATGGAAGTTAGCTTAGCATGATTGGGCGCGGTTTGCACATAGCCTCCAAGGGCTCGGCCCTTGGCATGTTAAGCCCCAAACCTTCTGTCATATCCACATCATCTTCACCAATCCTCTCCCAATCAAATGACTGAATCAAATTTCCGAGTGCCAATACAATCAACTTGTTGGCTAGCCCAGCCCCTGGACATCCACGCCTTCCAGCCCCAAGCGTAATTAGCTTGTACCCTTCAGACCCATCACCACTCCACCCTTCAAACCTCTCTGGCCTAAATTCTGTGGGGTCCTCCCACAGCTCAGGGTCCCTATGGATGGCCCACGCATTAATAAATAACATAGTATGACGTGGCACATCAAATCCCCCTACCACACAATCCTCAGAGGCTTCATGAGGTAATAGAAGTGGAGTAGGTGGGTACAAGAGAAGTGTCTCATTGATCACATTTTGTAAGTAACTCAGCTTTGGAAAGTCCTGCTCTTCCAGTGCACACTTTTCTCCGACCTTGGTTTCTATCTCAGCTCTCACTTTCTGCATTTTCTCTGGATGGTTCAGCAACAGCGCCATTGCCCAACCTATGGTTGTGGCTGACGTGTCAGTCCCAGCTCCCAGCACCACCTACAATTAACTTGGTAATTTAATTAGTTGACATATGCATTAATATTTTGTAAGTTGCTTCAACCTGCATGCAGCTACCATTTGATGCGCAGACAATTAAATAAGTACAAATGCTGGGCAAATCATATGTATTATAAAGCTGAAATTGATTTTCCTCATTGTCTTGTAATAGTTGTGTTTATTGTAATTGTATTTTTCTATTGTTTGCAAGGGCGGCTACGTTATCTTATATATATATTTCCATTTCACTAATAAAACACTTCCACTACAACTACACAACTGTCGCTATGGCGCTACGGAGACCACTGGCGCAACTTCCTCCGCATTATGATTGTTGAAATCTTCTCCTCCTCTCGCCTTGCCATGTTTTCAAGTGTCAGACGAGGGGAAGTTCGTTTGCTACTGAATCAAATAATGAAGTGTAGTTGTGCCGAGAACATGACAAAGATTGAGCTCAAGACCAAGTTCATGGAGCTTTCGTTTAATGTGATGACGATGATGGTTGTCGGGAAACCATACTATGGTGAAGATGTTGGAGATGTTGGAGATGCTGAAGAGGCCAAGAACTTGCGGGAGGTTATTAGGACGCTGTGGACATATCCGGATCAACGAATATGGAAGACTTTTTGCGAGTTTTACAGTGGATTGATTTAGGTGTGGAGAAGAAGATGGCAGGGTTGATGGCAAAGTTGGACAAATTCTTGCAGGGCTTAGTTAACGAGCTTCGTGTAATTTTGTCATCAACGAATTGTTCATCTGATGAAAAATGGGTTAAGAAGTTGCTGATTGATAACTTATTGTCAATGCAAGAGACACAGCCCCAAGTCTACTCAGACTGAAAAATAATCAAAGGAACCATTTTGGTAATTCATAAATCCTCAACTCAACTGATTATTATTATGTTTCTTTTCTGGGTGTGATAATATTAACTTAATTTTCAAAAATTTAGAGGTTGGTTTGTTCTTTTTGACACAATTTCTTTCACCAGTAAGCATTAGTTGTGACCGATTTCAATTACTCATTGGAAATAAAAGGAAAAATCGAACACAATCTCGGATGCACGAGTAATTACTTAAAGTTTTAAACTCATTATCTTGTATATTCATTCTTCAACTTATAGTAATTACTATGATTTGGACCAGTTCAATTTTTCTATGGGTAGATGCAAGTATTAAATAATTAAACAGGTCATGTCAACCCGTGTAATACTCACCAATCCGTCAACCCATTTATTTGTTTCTTCTTCATTTTCTTCATTTTTCTCTTTTTTTAAAAAATTATTTATTTCTCTCTCAATCTTCATACATGCATAGAGGCAAAATTTAATCACTATTTTTCTATTCAAAATAAAAAAATTGCAAACTGCAATTATTTGATTAAATTATCAAAATTCAGGTTTTTTTATTCTTCTTTTATGACCTTGTGAATTTAAGATGTGGGTCTTTATTGGTTTTTTGTATTTGTTTTTACTTATTGCCCAATACTCAAGTATGCAAGTGATTCTTGTATGGGCCATTCAAGTTATTCTTTCTTTTTGTTTGTTTTTAATTTTTACCCAATAATCAATTATGCAAGTGATTTTGAAAAAAATAAAAACTAATTCTTATTTGATTATGATAAGAATTCCTTTTTTGTTCAAATTTAGATGTGTCAAATTTGGGTTGAGCATTCCTACATATTTATTATCTCAACACGACACAACCCATTGCCATCCTTTAGATATGATGCAAACATCCATACTTTATTGGCTAAAAATAATATCCTTCAAAGTCGACCAGCCCTTGTGAAATATGGTAAATTGAACCTTTTTCGCAATCAAAAGTCCACTAATTACAAAAAAGGATGCGTGATTACTTTTTTAAAGTGTCCACTATAATCACTATTTAATTGTAGATATTGCTGGTAGCTGGAACTGATACGACATCAACTACCCTAGAATGGGCAATGGCGTTGTTGGTAAACCATCCAGAGGTAATGGGGAACGTAAGAGCCGAAATAGACACCAATGTCGGGGAAGAGCTTCTATTGGAAGAGCGAGACTTGCCAAAGCTGACTTGCAAAATGTGATCAATGAGACACAGCGCCTGTACCCACCTGTCCCACTTCTAGTGCCCCATGAAGCTTCTGAGGATTGTGTTGTTGGAGGATTTGATGTGCCACGTCATACAATGTTGGTGATCAATTCGTGGGCCATCCACAAGGACCCTGAGGTGTGGGAGGACCCTACAGAATTTAGGCCAGAGAAGTTTGAAGGATGGAGTGGTGAGGGCTCTGAAGGGTATAAGCTGGGGATTGATTGACCCTAAAAAGAAGAAGCTGGGCGTGGATGTCCAGGGGATGTCCTGGCCAACCGGTTGATTGGATTGGCACTTGGAACTTCGATTCATTCATTTGAGTGGGAGAGGATAGGTCTAAGCCAAAGTCCAAGCCCTTGGAGGCAATGTGTAAACCAAGGCCATCCACACTACTCTTATTAATGTCTCCCTACCTAGCAGGCGGAGGTTCTTATCAAGTTTGTGGAGATGTAGTCAAACTTTCTTTATTTTTAGGATGAGTACAAAAGTTTCTAGTGAGACCAAAATTGAAACAAGAGGACCAAGAATACTGATCATAAAGCAAAACATTGCACATTTGATCAAAGAGGATCAATCAATCAACCCGAGTAATGGGAGAACCCTTCTGGTACACTTTAGCTCTCAGCATCACCTTCACCTCCATCTTGCTTCTCAATTTCACCGTAGCTAAAATTAGACAAAATCACAATAAGAAACTTCCCCCCTTCCCACAGTCTCTCCCAATTATTGGCCATCTCCATCTTCTGAAAGAACCAATTCACCGCACCCTCCAATCTCTTTCTTCAAACTTGGGCAAAATCGCCTTCGATCGCGGAAGAATGTTACACGAAGCACGACATCATCCTCTCCAACCGCCCACGCTTGCTTTCCGGGAAACACTTCCACTACAACTTCAAAACCGTCGCCGCCGCGTCATGACTCTCGAGATCTTCTCCTCCTCTCGCCTCGCCACGTCTTTGAGCGTCAGGCAAGCTGAAGTCCGTTTGCTATTGAATCAGACGATGAAGAGCTGTGCTTGCACGCAACAGGGGATGACAAAGATCGAGCTCAAATCCAAGTTCATGGAGCTTTCGTTCAACGTGATGACGATGATGGTTTTGGGGAAGGGGTACCACGGCGAAGATGTTGAGGATGTTGACGAGGCTAAGCATTTCCGGGAGGTTATGAGGGACGCCGTTGACCTATCCGCAACGACGAATTTGGGAGACTTTTTGCCAATTTTACAGTGGGTGGATATATCAGGGTTGGAGAAGAAGATGGCGAGGTTGATGGCAAAAACGGACAGCTTCTTGCAGAGTTTGGTTGAGGAGCGCCGTCGAATTTTGTCACCCAATTTGGCAGCAAATGGTAAGGATGACAACATGTTCATGATCGACAACTTGTTGTCGATGCAAGAAACAGAGCCCGAATTCTACACCGACGAAATCATCAAAGGAATCATTTTGTTAACTCACACTTCTTTGTTTTTAGTTTTTGTGTTTTTTTGGAGGTGACCGTTAGTTATTTAAATGTGGACTGATTGTAGGTGTTGCTGGTTGCTGGGAGTGACACGTCATCAACAACCCTAGAATGGGCAATGGCGCTGTTGCTAAACCATCCAGAGGAAATGGAGAAAGTGAGAGATGAGATAGAGACCAAGGTTGGAGAAAAGCGTGCGTTGGAAGAGCAAGACTTGCCAAAGCTCTGTTACTTGCAAAATGTGATCAATGAGACACTCCGCTTGTACCCGCCTTTTCCAATTCTGGTGCCCCGTGAAGCCCCTGAGGACTGTGTGGTGGGGGGATTTGACGTGCCACGTCATGCAATGCTGGTGGTGAATGCGTGGGCCATCCATAGGGACCCTGAGGTGTGGGAGGACCCCACAAAATTTAAGCCAGAGAGGTTTGAAAGATGGATTAGTGAAGGAGGGCTTGAAGGAGGATATAGGGTAATCCCGTTTGGGGCTGGAAGGCGCGGATGTCCTGGGGCTGGCTTGGCAAACAGGTTGGTTGAACTGGCTCTTGGAAGCTTGGTTCAGTCATTTGAGTGGGAGAGGATTGGGGAGGACATGGTGGATATGAGTGAAGGGTTAGGTCTTATGATGCCAAGGGTTAAGCCCTTGGAGGCTATGTGTAAACCAAGACCGTTCACGCTGGCTTCAATCTAAAAACTATACCTGGAATTCCAAAGCCCATTTTGATTCTTTTCCTTCTCTCTGTTTTTTTTTCCTTTGACAAAACGATATTCTAACTAATCTAATGTACAGAAAGGGAATCGAACTCAGTACAATGGGGCGAGCACATTGCACCTTCATACTCATACAGTAATTTATCACTGAGTAAATAAAGTTGCAGTTGAAGAGACTTTTTTTTTTCCTTGTTAAAATATGTAGCGAAAACAAATGCACTGCCAGTTATGCAACCACAAAAGATAAGTCAATTAAATGTATGGCAAAAGCGTGGCTACTAAAAGAATATTAGGCACTTTCAGGTCGGATTCAGGATTTGTGTTTTTTGAAGAGAGGAGAGGAGGGGGACTAATGTTAAATTTATACATTGATTTGGCTGGTATAGAATAGAAACTACAAAATAGATAATATTGAACAAAGAAGTTAATAGGAACTAGTTACTTACTAAGCCTGCAGAAGTTGACAAAATGAGTGCTTCAACATCTGGTTTTCACATTACTTCCTTGTCAACGATTATGGAGCGGGTCAGAAGCGTTTGGAACTTTCCTCTTGCTTGAAAAGAAGGCCTCAAATGAGTGCCTCAACCGCTGCTGCTGTGGCTGCTTATTCATATCATCCTCATGTTCTTGTTGTTTTTGCTCCACATTATTGGGTACAGATAGTGGCATCGTGTTTTCCTTGTACCCAGAGACCAGCATTGAGAAAAA